TGGATTGGAGAAGATTTTGATTTTCAAAATACTGCGTGGGTTTTGAGTCCAATGGGTTAAACTTTTCATTACAGCGTATGTATACAAGGTTATTGCCCTTCATTGAAAAAGATAAATTACTATGTAGATATGTATAAAAGAACTTGTTCAAGTATCCTGTGTATTGGACCATCAAACCTTTATCCTGTTGTTTAACTTAGGTATCTCGAATTTAACTTGATACTTAATATAAGTTAGCATTATTAATTTATTCCTTTATGAGGTATTTCTGATTGAAAATAATTAAGTTTACCTTGAGGTTTTGTCATCGACAATTTTTTTTTAATAAGAAAAAAATTAAAAAATTAAATCTTGGATCAGAAAAAGGTCAATAATAAAAAAAGAATAAAAAAAAAAAATCTAAAATTTAAAAAATTCCAATAAAATTCTGTTTAAAAAATGGTCCTTGATATTAAACAATAAAAAAACTAAATTAAAAAAAAAAAATACATCGTTAGTAATTTAGGCGTTCAGCCGAGATTTTTTTTTAATTAATTTATTTTTTTTTTCTGAAATTAACGCGCGTTTTTTATTTTCTTTTTAATTTATTTTACTGACAAGTAAATGATCGAAGAATATTACTTTATTTTTAAAATTTATTTTTACAAGTTGTTCATTATATGCAACTAAGATGATGGTTGGATTTGCTGCGACATCATGACTCCCAATCATATAATTATTACACGCTGAAATGTTAAAGAAATCCTTCATTTTTAATGTGTAGTATTGACATAATAATGACAAATTTTCTGTCTAATGATGATAAAATTCACCCACATATTTTTAAAAATCTTTAAAATGAAGATACAACAAACTTCAAAAGACTAAAAAATAAATTTTTTTTTTCATAATGTATTAAATGGCGTGAATTATTTTATCACATCAGTTTTATTAAAATCACTTCATTATTGAATATCAGGGTATCTGAGGATCACCGTAGAGTGCAGAAGGTTCGCTGTTTAGATGTCGTTATAAATGTAAGAAACAAAATTAAAAAGAAGGCGTGTAATTTATTATATATTGTCCAACTAATTTAATTGATATATATGCAGTAGAATATCTTACCAGTTGCTTTCGACAAATTGGGTAAAATCTCGTCGTCTCTGGACTTTCTTAAAAAATCGTCATCGTTCTCGAAGATGGATAGAGCGATAAAAAAAATTATGGCCATTAGATCCATATTGCAGGAACTTTCGGTCATTGATTTATAATATTGCTCACGGGTTAGTAACTCACTTTAAAAGTAAAACGGAAGCTCAGGATGATTCTTTTTTTTTGTCTTGAGCAATAAATGTAAGAGTAAGAAATATCTTTAAAGCAGAAAACGTTGAAATGGAATATAAGTAGAAATGCATACATAAAGGTAGGTAAAATAAATTGCTTAGAAGTACGTAAAGTTAGAATGCATAAATGTAGAAAGAAGTGTGAAGTGAGACGCAATAGTGAGCAACTCAAGATTTTACCTCAGTTACGAAGGAAGGTTCATAACCGAATCCTTCTCAGAAACGCTAGACCTTCGTAGTCGAAAGTTTACTACACTAAACCACGAAACTCTACCATAAATAAGACAAAAGACATTGAAGTGTGACAGTTGATAACCGACCAAATTAAAAAGTATCTAACGGATAGCTGATACTACTTCAACTAAAAGCTTAAAAATAATATTATCTCCTGGCAATGGCATTATATCAACAATTTTAGACAACTCTTCTGGTGAATAATTAACTTTGTAATTCTTTTTAAAATTATTCTTAACCGTATTTATAATAAAGTCTTGAACCACACGAGGCTCAATTTTCATGAACCGTTGAGCATATTTTGTTGAAAGACGAACTTTCGACATATCCTGAAATTTATTTTTTCCATTTTATCTTTTGATCCATAGGATAAATAACGCCTTTTTAAATTTTCATGAGTGAAATTTCATTTAAAAAAAAATCCAGTAAAAATTATAGCGAATGATTGAATTTCTATTTAATGAATAGTAGCTTAAGTAAAAATTCATTTCCTGAATAGATAACCCATGAGATCCTATATTTTTATGTTAGAAAATTCAAACGATATTAGTTTCGAAATAATTTTGGTTTTGAATATTTAATTATTTATAAATATTTATGATAAATCTCTATTAATATGGTACATTAAATTTTATTATATTTACAATTGAATTTTTGATGAGGTTGAATTCGAAATTGACCAGGATAACATAATGAAACGACAGGATAAAGCTTTGATGGTAGATTATTCCATTCTGATACCACTGGATATTTTGTTCCATTAATTGTAAAAGAACAATTTCTCTTATTCATATCTAAATGAACGGTAACTATATGATTATCTCCTTTAAATGAAGGACAATAACTTAACCATTTTTTAGAATGACAAGCCGAACCCGACGAACCCAACACCCATGCTGTATTTTGATCTCCTGCAAAGCTTTCGTAGTCAAAATCTCTTGATGCACATACCCCAACCCAAGAAAATCCACAATATTTCTCAATAATAACATCCCATTCAAAAATACCCTTATTTTCTAATGCCACCTTGGCTCTAACATTTTGAAGTGATGAATTATAACTATTTTGTGTCTGTACAACTTTTCCATTATCCACAATCAAAAGGTTTGATCCACATGCTGATTCATCCCAAACAAAAGATTCAGGAAATGCTATCGCAACACCACGAAACTCATTTAATTTTGTGTTACATAATCTTGCTAGATGTCGATAAACGTTTAATATCCTCTCTGCTGGGATTATGTTTAACGGCTCAATGATATCAACTAATATTTGACCTTTGATTCTTTCGAAATCAATGTATCTTATTAAAGGTCTTAATTCTCTGACAACTTTTTGACGATCGACAAGTAATTGATTTTCAACTTGAATGGAATTGTCTATATGTTCTAAAATTGGTAACCGTCGCAAAAGGGTTTGGGTTGCATAAATGGAAACCTGATTTGCTGCTAGAATAGCACTATAACGAAAAACTTCATATTCTGGGGTTTCAAAGGGTACTTCCTTTTCATGAGTACAAGATAATAGATATTTAAGTGCTGTAATAGATAATCGACCAAACTCTATCATATTTAATGGAATATTTGCCACAGCTTTAATCAAAAGATTAAGAAGATCATTATCTTTTGTTAATGGCATTGCATCTACAATTTTGGTTAACAATTCAGGTGAATAATTATTTTGTTGATTCACTTCAAAAGTAATTTTGACATTTTTCACAATCAAATCTTGAAGGTTCGGCAATTGAAAGTAATCCGCCGCTTCAAAGGCTTCAACTATATTATCCTGGGTTAATGAGTCTTCTTTAATCGTTCCTGTATAAATATACTCCAAAACGATTTCCATTCCGTAAGAATCTAGTTTCGGAAAAGAAATTCGACTTTCATAACTTTCCCTCATTCCATTATAGAGTAGTGCGTTAAATACTTCAGACCTCGCAGCTAATATTGCTCTACATCCGTGTAACATAGTTTTGTCTTTGCACAGAATTTCTATATCACTATACTTTGAGTTATTAATTAACAAACTCAAATCTTGTTTCAGTGAATGTCCTCTTGTCATTATTTTTTTTTTTTGTCAAGAAATAATTGATTTTTTAAAACCTGTATGAAAGAGCTAAATCATCATTAATTTATGGAAAAATTCCAATTAAATACTTGCCCAAAGTTTTAGTACGTTTTCTGATGACTAATGAAAAATTAATCAAATTAGAAAATTACGAAAGGTTTTTGCCAACTAAGCGAAATAAGGAATTGGTCTATCCAAATAAAAATAACAAGAAATTTTCTAATTGGTTATAAACTATTACCTCCCCTCCTATGGTAATTGGTCTAGAATTCGTTAAGTTAAGTTTGGCATGGCGCAGGATTATTGTTTATTTTATATTTTCATAATTAAAACAACGCTCCTATTTTTCTGTAATTCAATTTATGACCAATTTCATATGTAAAAATTAATAACAAGATTTTGAAAGCTAGTCTGAAATATCTAAAACTTAATTTCAGTTTCATTCTTAAAAGTTTAAAAAAGTATAATGCTTTAAATTTTCAAATGGCATGTTAATAAATAATGAAAAAAAAGCTCTTTAACTAGATTTGCCCATTAAAAAACTCTTCATTTTGTATGTTTTTTGTGTTCTTTTAGTTTAAATATTTTTAATCGATTGGATAATAATAATTCTTCATTCTTCTTGTTACAGTTTTGCCTGCTAAATAAAAATTTACTTGAGAATACTTGAGAAATAAGTTGACATTAAGAAATAAATATTTACAAATGTATGACTTTGGGGCATTTGCTTTTTAATATTCCTAAGCGAAAACAAAAAGAAAGAATTCAAATTGTAAGCCATTATAAATAAATTCCATAACATCTCGAAGCGATAAAAAAGGTTTCGCATTTAGCGAATAAGCATCCTCACAATTTATGATGAATACTGTTTTAAAACTTAAATACATTATAAGTGAGTTCTATCATATCAATATGGCTGTACAATCCTAGCAGCACTTATTCTTTTCGAAAATTATAATGATTACGCCGATAGCAGTAAGCAATTATATTTTTTTGTTCAATTTATAATCTTAACAATATATATATTACATTTTATTTTTTTTCGTCTTACAACTTGAAATTAAAGATATGACTTGTGGCTTATGATGCAGAGCATAAAGTATTCTTTGCTAAATACTATGGCGTAACTACTTTCTTTCGAATTTTTAAAAAAATTTTCTTAATAAAATCAAAATTTGTCTGCTTATTTCTCTTTAAAATTTTTCAAAACGAATTTCATTATAAATATGGAACAAATTAAATGTTTCGTCAAAATATTGATGAAATAAATAATGAAAAATATTCATTCTTCACGAGTAATAAATTTAGAAGAAAATTCAATGCCTTATAAAGGATTATAATGTAAGTTTTTTTAAAAAATAAACAAATTTGATCTATCTATTTATAATACCAACTAGATAAAACGTATCATACTAAATTAATAATACCTCTTTACGAAGTGACTTTAATCAATATGAATAACACACCGTACAATATCCATAAAATATAAATCTTTTTCTTTGAAATTCGTTAAGATAACTAATTACTACAAGGTTAACTGAAATAAGTGACATGATTAGATTTTGCAAATTGCTGCAATATGGCTCAGTTGATTCTGCGAATAACACTGGTTGATGTTTTTCGCCGGTTCCATCTCTAGATAACTAAACTAAAATACTTCATGTCCAAACTTATGACATCAATAAATTTACCAAGTCAACTGTCGGAACCACAACTATTTAATAAATTTTTAATAAAATGAAAAATATAACTTTTTCAATTTGCCTGAAAAATAATATTTTGGAAAGTGTGTATTATATAATGTTTTATTTTTCAATTGGTACCAATACAATTCAAGTTTCTCGCTTTTCTAAACGATAAAAAATAAAATTACCAGCAGCGACTTTTATAAAAAAAAAAAAATTAAATGGAAATATTTTGAAATATCTCATTACCAAAGGCAACAATAAAGCTTAGAATTATTCTTTGCAGTTTCTACGTGACACGTCTGATATACAAAAATTTGAAAAAATTGATTTTTATTTACGTCACTTTCTTTTAAATTTTTTTATAGGATCGGATTATTAGAAGGTATGTTTGAGTTTTTTATTCTTAAAAAATTTTTTTATTTAATCTTATTGAATAAATTCTATTCGTTTTTTTAAAAGATTAATCCTGGGAACGAAGTCCCCCGCTCCCCGTAATCTCTAGTTTATAAAAAAAGGAAAGTATTCTGGTTTAAAATTTTATAATATTATTTTTCAATTAGACTATTTACATGAATTTAACAGACTTTATAGAAAAAAGTAAGCTTGAAACAAAAATTATAGTAAATTCGGTAAATAATAAAAATCCGACAATTAGTTTATTCAAGATTTTATGATCGTTTTACAAAGATATAAGTAAGTATATAATAGCAATATTATACAGTATAATAATTAAAAAATAATAAATAAAAAGTTAAAGAATAATTAAATTGATACTTTATACAAATTAAATATCAAATTCCAATTCTTTCGACTTGTAAGTTTCATCTTCCAATAATTTAATTTTTTTATTGCTTTTAACTATAAAATAATACAGATACATTCAATTGATTAATATTGATTATTTGTGTTTTTTGAATCGCATATATTTATTGAAATTTTATTATACCCTCATTACTTTCAAATTTATCGCTTTCAAACTTTCGTTTACCTTTTTTTTTAAAAAATGGAAAATATGTTAATAAAATTTTAACACATTCATTTACTGGTTATAAAATAAAAATTCAATTTTTAATTACCAAAATCCGAAGAAATAGATTGACTTCGTAAACTTCTTGCGGATTTCATCATGCTATTTAAAGATCTACTCTGATAAATAGCGTCTGGATTGTTTGTTGTAATAGGTCCAATTTCTGATGATTCTACAATATCTGTTGGATTATTATATTCTAGATTAATAATCCTATCGATTCTATCATAAATACTCCCAGCTGGCCTTTTACTTTGATCAGGGTCCCAGCATTCTTTCATTATCTCAATATAACCTTCAGGTGCTACAATATCAACTGTTGGAGGACGTAAGCCATCACAAATATCAATAATCAGCTCAGTATCATGAGAACGATCCCAAAAAGGTCTTCTTCCTGTCATACATTCCCACATAATCATACCAAAACTATAAATATCTGATGCTTTGGTATATTTTTGCCCTTGAAGAACCTCTGGGGCCATATAAGGAATAATTCCATAAGTTTCATTATCGTCAGCTTCAGTAGCAGATTTACTTAATCCTAAATCACCTATTTTAGAATCATTATCTTCTATCAAAATATTTCCACTATGAAAATCACGGTGGATAATACTCTTTTTATGAATTCTTGATAGGCCATCTGCAATATCATCTAAATGCCATAACTTTGTATCCCAACTAACATTAAAAAAATCTTTAGCTATATAATGGGATAGATCTCCTGCATTACAATAATCCATAATTATCACAAATTCTTTAGTATTAGGATCTTGCGTAATTCCATAATACCGATTAATATTAGCGATATTAGCGTCTTCATGGCTTACAGTTAATTGATAAGATATTTTGAGCTGAAAATTTATCGATTTAGTAACATTGATATAAATAAATAAATAATAATAAATAAAAAAAAATATGTACCTCATTTAAATCTTTTGAAGTAAAGTTTTTAGAATTATTAAGTTTCTTAAGAGCAACTTGCATTCGTTTATCTTTTGTTGGACCATCAATCCAAGTAGCTTTATAAACTTTACTAAATCCTCCCTCACCAATAAATTCTACATCTTTGATTCTATCATATGGAACAAATACCATTTTGTATTTAGATTTATAATACATTTGTGTTCTTTTGATAAAAGAGTCAATAATTTCATTTCCAATTGGATTAAAAGTTGTATTTGAAAAATAACAAATACGGCAAATATTATGGTCTTCTTCAGAAGGTTTTCTTCTTTTTTTACATTCAATACATTTCTCAAATTTATATTTAGGCTTTAATTCACCCATGGTTTGCATTTGCTGACTTGATGTACCATTTGACAAGTCAATACGATTAACATCGATTAATTGGTACATAATAAAGTTCGTTTGAGCATCCAAAGCTATACCTATGATATTATATACTTTATTAACCATATTCCAAATAGAAAATATCCTTCTTGAATTCTAGATAGAAAAAGAAGTTTCCTTATTTCATTTCCGGTGGGCGCTTTCATTATTTTAGGCAATGATCTGTTTGTTACTTTTTTATGGAATATTTTTTTATATGCACCCCTGCATGCGTAGAAATAATTCATTCTATGGTTTAGAAAAGGTCGCTCAATTGATTAATGACAAATTTTATTATAAAGTTATTTTAAGAAAAAAGGAAAGTTTAAAATTTAAAATTCATTTAGAACTAGTTTATAAAGAATTTTTTAGTAATTTTTTTTCAAATAAATTCTCTATCGTAACTTTTCTTGGAAAGAAAATTGATTTTTTTTTTTTTGAAAATTTTCTTAGCAAACTAGAAAGTGAGGAGATTCTTATTAATCTACTCTATTTATTGCAGTGCGATTTACAAGAATCATCTATTTATTTCCAGAAGATTTTGTTCGGTATAAAGTAAGTTCACTGTTATAAAATTGACCAATAAAAATACAGATACGTGATCATTTCGTAAGAATAAAATTTATCGCATTTTATTATATTAAAAGGCTTGACTATACAGTATACAGTACATTATTTCGAATTATTACTTAACAATATTATTATAAAAGTGATTATTAATATCATTTTGTTTTTAAATTTTTTACAATTAGTTACTTAACTCGCTTATGTAATCCTTTTAAAACTTTCAAATCTTCGTTTACGCTCATATAAAAATCTTATCATTTTGTCTGCAGCATTTTCTGCTTCCGTCAAACTAACTTTTTCCAATAAGATATAGGTTCATCTTCATCTGTCATATGCTCCTCTTCCTTACCTACTTTTAAATAGCATCAATTATTTCACGATAGCAAGCCCACCCTCTGGCATCTCATCCTCTAAATGAAGATACTCATGTGCATCAAGATCACTTTTTTAAAAGCTCATCAATTTCTGTATCACGGCTAAAAAATAAATAACTGCATTATATATTAATTATATAGTATACAATACCTATCAAAAAATACTCAATTATAATCATCAGGACTTTCGTCAGTTTCATTATTTGATGGAAGAAAGCCTGTTTTTTTCCAGAAGTTCAAGATCGTTTGAGATGATACCATATCATGGTTCAGCCGCATTTCGTAAAGCATTATAGATCATATGGGAACGTTTCCAGTAAAATCAAGTCATGAGGCATAGTAAATCATATGATCCGTAATGTGATTTCACTGGAAACGCTCCCATATAATCACCACCAATCCATCCTGCATATCATATGCATTAATCCGATTTTAGATAAAAAGGCATTTATAATTATAATTGAAAGAATGAATAATACCCGCATCACATAGTGGAAGTTCAATGGTAGTATTTGGTAGGAGAAATTTTATTTCTATGCTATCTAACTTTTCTTGGAATTCATCTAAAATAAGGTATATGTGTTTTGACTGGAATTGATTTTTGTCTGAAGTTGGAATTAGTGCTCCGTAAGGGTCGGGTCGGGTCGGGTTTGAAGCAAACTCGAACTCAAACCCGTTAATATTTACAGGACCCG